TCAGCGTTAGAGGAGTCTTGATCATGTCAGTGTGCATCGGTCCATCGGAAGTCGATGGGTCAAGAAATCTCCTTTGGTTAACCTCTTCCCACGAACAATCTCGGACCGAGGGCGATTTTTTGTCGATTTATCATTTGCCGAGTTCACTGATTCTGGCGGGTATGTGCATTCTGCTGTGTGCACTTTTAGAGCATTGTACAGTGTTTGCCGGTCGTGAAACTTAGATTTTCGTGCTCGACGCTGCCTTTTGAAGCCACTCCTCCACCTGATCTCACCCCATCCTTCTGCCTCAAAGGAAATGCGCCGTCACTGAAGTCCCCAGCTGCACAGCCGACTGGCAGTCTGCCACTTGGATGCTATCCCTGTCCCTCCCGTTCCTGCACCTGGGGCCTGCGCTTGCACTCAAATCCTTTCCTTCAGCCGCCCAGGCACCATCACAGAATTCTTTCGTCTTTTCAAAGGCTTCGCGTGTCCCGCTCTTACCACGACCTCCTTATCGATTATCTCTCTCGCTCATCGACTTCTGAAGCTCGAGCTCGGTTTGCGGTTCGGGAGTGCATATCCGCCGCATATCAACTTCTTCCTGACGATGTGGATCGCAATCTGCCACCATTTTCCTTCATGACGCCTGGCTACCCCCATCACCATACCCGTGCCATCGCCAAAGACGGCCCTCAGCGCTGTTCACCATCCTGAGCCTCCTCCCATTCTCCGACGCTCGCTCTCCCTCTGTATCCTTACGTACTGCACATAGTCCTTTGTATATTTCGAGTCCTGTTGGCCGCGCGACCTATGCCCCAGCATTTCTTCCTCATGCGCAATACTGAGAGGTCTACGCCGTCCACGGAGCTTCTCCTCGGATAGGCTGAGGATGATTGGTTGCCGCATACGTCTGTATTGTCGAATCAGGGCGTCTATTGCGCATGTCTGACCCGTGGAATCTGTCCTTCGATCTTCGTTGATACGTGCGTGTCGCTGTATGCACTTGTATCGTCTCTAGTCTCCTGTATTTATCACCCTTGCTAGTGCGCATAGTGCCTTCAGGAATAACTCCTGTTTAGGGTTTGAACTAGGCCTCATACAAGCAGCGAGCTTTTCGATGTTGAGAACCTAATCACTTAAGATCATGTGCATCTAGAACGACGAAACCCAATCCTGGAGAGATTGTTGCGAGTAGATGAATGAGCTTGAACGGAAAATATTGGGAGGATGGCTATGGAAATGTGAGAGGTGATGACTTTCACGACCCCTTAGCTCAGTGGTAGAGTGTGTGATTCCAGCCTTCGCCAGAGTTTCCACAAAGTCATCCGTTCAAGTCGGGTAGGGGTCAAGTGTTTTGTCACTTTTTGGCCATCGACTAAAAACCAATATAAAGAAGTCCAACATGCTTTAGAAACCCTGATCATTGTCCATTCGAGACATTCAGGTCCGAATCTCTTACTCACGAGTCTTTACACCTTCCCAACTCTCAGCATGACGCTTACTTTCTTGAAGGCATGAGCAGAAAGCTCACAGGGTCCGGATTCGTTGATGTCAACAATCACACACGCCTCGGCAAGCGCAAGATGTCGACCAGACTGCCTATATGGTCTATGATATACCACAACGATATACGGCAGTTCTCGGCCTCTCCTCGCTTTCAGATTCGGATCCGACAACGCTCTTGGGGACAGTTCACCTTTCTCCCGAAAATTCCCTGCCGATGAAATAATATTTGACAAAAGTCTCAACATTAGGAATGGAAGGTGACTTGAGCTATTGATGTTTCCGTGGTTATCGAATCTAGTGTGCATGATAACCAGTACGAAACGGAAACTTGTCGCATCTGATGGGAAAGAATATCGTTGGAACTGGTGAGTCGAAGAAGATCAGGAGTGGACAGTAAGCTGTGTATTCTTGATCGTCACTCTAACAGACTATCTGCAGTGTACGATTACACACGGATATCTCGTGGCCCACTACAACCTTAAAACGTGAGAACCTGAATACATTGGTTTGTCTGAGTGTATGCTTACTGTTGAACAGCCATAACACAAACTCATTCCAGGTAATTCTTCCCTTGGATTATGACATGATCTAGTGCATGTTGACACCATCGCTTGAAGAAGTACTTGCTTCACTCATGATAATGAACATGGCCGAGTATTGTTTCTGAATTGAGGGGATTTCTGACGACTAGCACTCTCTCCAGAACAAAGTTACAACACTGGCGACTCTCGGTGAAGATACAAGCGTTCATCCAGATATCTCAGAAAGTCCACTTGCCGACCCTGATGAGTTAGACAGTGACCGGAAAATGAAAATTTCTGTCTTAGAATTCACGACACGACAGTGTGCGTTTAGTGCACAGGACTGTAAACAAAAAACGAGTCATTTTGATAAGCATTGAGCGATTTTCATTTTCATCATTTTTCACAGGAAGTCCTCAGAAAAGTCAGGCTAGAGCGTCCAAAAACGTGTACAATGTGGTCTGTATAATCAATCAATCACTGCCACAAAAAATAGCTGTCTTGTCTCCCTTGCTTGTTTGTATAACGGCATACTCCGCTGCTTGTGTCCGTCCATCTTGTTCATGCGACTCCACCGTTCTCTACGTACAGAATTTCCCTGCTTTGTTCTCTCTCAGATATTCTGGTCACAAGAAAAACGCCGTTGTCGTAGAGCAGGAATGGTCATTTCCGTCTCCATTCTAACTTTTTCTCTCACTATGCTGTTCATCAGCTTTGATCCAGCCTTGGATGGCACCTCGATTTCCTACCTCCAAAGACATTGTAATGCGACGGACCATCAAGCCGAGTTCAACAACTAACCTTGGGATATCGGGCTTTCGCCTACTGCGGATTGACTGTTGGGCGAGAAGGATAATGATCTGATATTGATCACCAAATTACTATCGATTACAACATGCCTACCATAACGATCAATGCCCTACATCTTCCATGACTGAAATACTAACATGACACCGTCACAGCGCTATACTTCTTCCAAACTTTGGATGCTTTTCTTATCCGTTCAATCTCCGTCGTGTCGTCCTTGAGGCTGTCATAATCTGAGGTTAGTATCAGATGCCTCTGGCAAATAATGTTAATAATTACTAGTAAACGGGACATTGTATCTTGATAATGATTCCAGTTCCTCGTTGGGATCCGAGCTATCGCGTTTTCCGAAATAGACAAGACGTTCGGGTTGTGGCATAACTCGGTAATCTCATCTTCATTCAGAAGAGCTGTCAGGTGACAATTAGAATGCCAACTGCATGAGGTTCACGTATAGAACTTACCTGAAAATCCATTAAGAAATTCCCAAATGGACATCGGAGTGATGCCCATATCTTCCATGAAAGACACAAGGTCGACATTGGACTTGAGCATTACGAGGTAACCCTCTCCATGATGTTTGTATCGCCTAACCCGGATTAAAGGCTTGCTTGAAGAGGATACCATGGGGCTGATAGCAGCGGATTGCGGGGGAGTTACGATACAATTCAAAAAGATGTTTTATATAGTCCCTGCAGGGCGCGTGACTCGGTGATAACCACAACGCCGTCTGACGCCGTAGAGCGCTAAAGCAAACACATGGCAGCCCAGATGCCTTGATTGGTACTTACTCCTTATGGCTGACACGAAGCTCAACAAGAGAGCACGACTTTTGAATTCGGGCGATCAGAGCTCCTGCTCCAAGTTACGCTTGAGATATAAGTGGTGTACCCAGCTCGGTAAGTCCTTTCTTGTAACGTTGACTGAACAGCTGCCACGACCAGCTGGCCAATGAGAATGATGTTGATCTTTGTACTGATGTAAAATGGAATGATTGTGCGAGAAAATCAAGAAGCTAGAGGCTAGCGGTTCCTCGAAGTCATCTTTATCCGTCAACCATCCCGTCGCTGGTGGTGTGTTGCCAGAAACTACACGTTGGATCATCATCGCCAGAACAAGATGAACAAAGGGAAAAGGATGACTCTCGCCATCATTATAACTTGCATTAATGGCGTGCTAGAACAGAGACATGATCTTGCTTGATGATTATGATGATGTAACCTTTGAAATAGGTAATTTTCGAACCTTCAAGCCAGATGATAAGTCCGGGACGATTCTGACTCTATGTTTGATAGAAACCTGCATGACGAGAGATGGAGGCGTGCCAGTGCGCTTGGATGGTCATCAGAAGATCATCAAGATATGCGGAATATTGATGTGCTGGAGTATCAATTTATGTGAGCCATTGTGAGCCAGAGAAGCCGTCGGGACAAGTGAGGAGTACGTACACCACCAAACCGTAAGGTAAGTACTTACCTAAATGGACGCTGGGGTGTATAGTCAGGGAAACGCACGAGGAAAGTCAGGAAAGGTAAAAGAAGTCTGCATTATAGATGGTACGTATAGGAAGCGGTATTCGCCATCGCAATTTCCATTCTATAAACGTAAATTAGAACAAAAGAATGAAATCAAAAGGGTGACACAAAACCCTGTGTCATCCGTGCTAAAATTTAGCAAACGTGATCAAGTGAGTGCAAAGGTAGGGTATGAGATAGTGCCAATGGGAAGAAAACACGGCATTAGTCGATGACGAGGAAGAGTGAATGGAAGGGTGAATTTTACGTTGAAAGCGAAAGCTGACTTCCATATTTCATTGTTTGGTCGTCTTCCCTCGTCGTGAACTCTTTCTACCCAAAACTCTGTAGCAGACTCCACGACGACTTCCCAAATCCTTCAAGGCATCCACAGATATCCAACCGTTTTTTTCTATGGGTGATCTGTCATCCTTCTCCCTCCAAAACAGGCACATACACTAGAAAGTCAACACATACGTATGACATCCACTGCTATCACCTTAAACCTAGGTTCCAATGTGAGAACACCACAGCGTCCGCATCTGCGACAATTGAACATGCTCCACCACCTCGTCATGAAAGTGTCGACAGAGTGCAAAGTCGTCCCGACACACTGGATATCCTGCCAATTTCCAGCAGATCACCGGTGGCGCAGGTACCGGTATCCTCTGTACTGTTCCAGTAGAGCGACATTCAAGCTTCGACACGGACATCAATATCTAGGGCATCCGCTCAGCGTCTCAGGTTTTGAAGTTAATATCGGCCACACCCGCTCAAACATTGATGCGGATGTATACCCGATGTGGGAAGGCATCAACATCGAGATTAATGTCGATGTGGAATCTCTGCGGAAATAAGCTCAGTATGGGCAGACATTCCGTGCCAAGTTCTGCAGCAGAGGCCCGCACCTCGTCAGATTGCTGGTGGGTCTTTAGTCTCGTTTATCTTCCATTTTTCTGAATATAGATTTACGCGTGATACTTCATTCGACAGGAGCCAGTATGGTCCACTTGAGTTGTTCTGTTGCGTCGATTTTTGGCTTCAGGATCACCTTGCGCTGCTCTTCCGAAATCCATGATTCCTCTGAGTGCCGTTTGAGTTCTCTGATATCGCGTGCATCGATAACCTTCTGACTCTTTGTCCCTTTGGGATTGTCCTATTTCTTATACTTCACCCCACATCTTGCGCATATGCTGACATTTCTTCTCCCTCAGACCTCGGAAGTCGACATATAATTGTAACAGTCGGGGACATTCAATTGATGAGAAACTCTCCACTTTTTCTCCGATGTAAGTCTCTTGCAGTATCACCCTTAATCTATCGTCGTTCAAGTTTCTTAGACACTGATCGGTTGCGTAGCACTCAACGACAATACTTTCTCTTATCTTCCGAATGCTCATCTTCCGAACACTCATCTTGGCGAAGCTACAATACGAAGCATATCCTTTTCTCGAACCTTCCTGGTCACTTCTCTGACTTGGGTATCCTTACTATACTTTTCCACCCTTCCACATAGCATCGTGTCTGTCACACCTACTCTTGGTCTCGGTACCGATGGTCGATTGTACACAATATATGTAGCTTTCTTGCCTTGTGATGTTCTGGGTCTGAGGCTTTCTGATTCTTCCTCGCTCGTCAACAAACAAAGGAATAGTATCTCTCTTTGGTATATGACATGCTAAAAGCGCCTCGCAATCATCCAACTCCGAATGAGGCAGCCATTCGTCATGCTCTGGGGGGAAACCAACCGCAACGCACGAGATATTGTCGTCCACGGCCACGCCTGCGTTCGTCAATTATTTTTTCGATGACCTGGTGGTCAGTAGCCCCGTCTTCCATTATTACAGGACCAGGACGGGTATATTCCCTATCAGGGAACAGGGTAGGGTCATTAGGGATGTGGCACTTCAGCAGGCTAGCGTGGAATCCGGGGAAGGTACGTTTCTTGTCGCTAGGTAACCGCAGGGTGTATTCTGAACATTCTGGGAGGGCCGTCACTA